TTGAGCACGCACAACCTCAGCAGCTTGGACTAGATAACTGTAGACACAGATCCCCTGGTGTATCCCTTCCTGGACCTTAGCTCTGAATGTTGGCTTCCTCCCTAGGGAGGCTGTCATGACTGCAAAGCCTTTCCCCAGTCAGCTCAGCTTCTAGGTCGGCTATTCAAAGAGTGCCATCTGCAGGATGAACTGAGGACTCAAATATTTAATTCATCTTCAAAGGGTATTTGAAGAATTTGTTTAAAATTTGTTCAAGAGCTATTAAACACAAAAGTTAAAGTTTAATGAAGGATAATGGATTGCCACATAAATTCTTCAAAGATATCATTTATGTCTATTTTAATAGCTGCCCTAAATGTCTTTACTACAAAGACTAACCACTGGTAAGAATCACAGATGCCTCCACTATCCCAAGAGTGGAGATGTATTTGTTCAGGGGCTTTACACTGCCTCAACCCCTCCCCGTGGGTAGCCATTCCCTCTGTTGAGGGCTTGCTTTTCCTTTCAGAAGGACAAATTTCCAGGATCTGTGACAGATGTAATAGCTCTCTTTCTGCTTTGATTCAAGACAGTTTTTTGAACCTAAATACAGAGAATGGGTACTCAGAATTCCTCTCTCATTTTCAGTCTCAGGTAAAGGAATCCTAAATGATAAGGCTGAAAGAGGTCCCTTCACAGAATCACGACCCTTTAGAGTATTGCTTATAAGTTACCCCAGGCTCCTACCCCGCAGCATATGTAGCCTTCCTGACCACATCTCATAAACAGCAACCCAAACAAAGAATAAGAGTGTCCATGCTTTGGGCTTTCTGTCATTGCTCTTCTTACTGAAGAACTTTTCAATTCCTGATTAAATCCACTCCTCTTCTCCCAATGGCCCTCATCTAATTGAGAGCAGAAGCAAGAGAGAAAGAAGAACCCTTTCCTGCCTAGATCACCCCATTTGCACCACCTAAACATGGCAATCACGCTGTACAGAACAAAGCAGGTCTCAGGCAGGCTGCTACAGACAGCCAACCTGCCTTCACTGTAGTCAGCATTGGTTTTCCTATGTGGACTAACAATCCCAGGATGCTGGGCCGCTCCATCTCCTAGAGTGGGGATCACAGAATAAGGTAGGATTAATTCCCCAACTACAAGATCCAGCTCTGGAGGCTAATTTCAGGGTAATGAGATGGCTCACGAACCCTAGGTAAAGTGCTCCCTTCGTAGCTCATATCTGCTTTTCTCCTTTCCAGAGCAAACACTCCTCCTAAAAGGATGAGCCTTTTGGAAGTTAGAACTCTGTCTTCTCTTTAAAAAAAATACAGTCTTATCAGAAAGCAGAGTCAGGGAGGTGTGGATCATGCCAGTGGATTACTCATTGGAAGGGCCAGAGGAAAGTTGTAATCGATGTCAATAAGGGCGGCAACATCACCCACCCTCACCCCCTTTGTCTTTGTCCCACACTTTCCATAAGCAAATGGGCACTCAGAAATGAATTTTATGCCCACTTCCTTTACCTCAATAAGGAGGGACAGCATGGAATTAGGATAAGAACATGACTCTGGAATCCAACAGACCTGGGTTTGAATCTCAGCAGAGCCCCTGACAAGCTGGATGACTTGGGCACATGGAAGAACTTTCTAAGCCTCAGTGTTGTCTTGTATAAAACAAGGCAAATACTACCTATCACTCAGGATTGGCATAAGATATATAATGGAAACATAAGCTCTCAAAAATGTGCCCATTCTTTCTTTAGCATGAATTTAAATTCATGTGTTTTTGTTGCTGATGGAAAAGCATTGTCCCACATGAAAGGAGTATCAGGTATCAGCGAGAAGGTGGAGGAACAGTCGGGAAAAATGGGCCTGGGGTGGCCATGGGTCTTGCTTGGTTGTAACAAAATGCAAAAACTGTGGCCTATAATCAAAACATGGGCCTACAACCAAGGTTGGCATTGCCTCTGAGGCTATATCAGGCAGAGGGCAAGGAGGATTGAGCTGGGTCAGAGCTATGGGTAGCTTTGGGGATGTCCTTTCTAAGTGAGGAGTGCTGAGCCATAGGACAGCCCACAGGCAGAAGCACCAAAGCTATGGGATGGCCCTATTCCAACAGACCACCCCACGTACTACAACCTCCATTCTCAGCCGTCAGGGGATACATGTGGCCCTCTCCCATCCTTGGCTCCCTAACAGCCTAGAGAGGAATGAGCCAGGATGCATGGCCACTCAGATATTTTAGATCTGTGCTGCATCTTGCCGAAGGTCCTCACTGGCTAGGAGGCTTTCTTTTTTTGTATTGTGGTAAAATATAACAATATAACACTTACAATTTTAACCATTTTAAAGTGTATAATTGGCTGGGCGCGGTGGCTCAAGCCTGTAATCCCAGCACTTTGGGAGGCCGAGATGGGCGGATCACAAGGTCAGGAGATTGAGACCATCCTGGCTAACCCAGTGAAACCCCGTCTCTACTAAAAAATACAAAAAACTAGCCGGGTGAGGTGGCGGGCGCCTGTAGTCCCAGCTACTCAGGAGGCTGAGGCAGAAGAATGGCGTAAACCCGGGAGGCGGAGCTTGCAGTGAGCCAAGATCACGCCACTGCACTCCAGCCTGGGTGACAGAGCGAGACTCCGTCTCAAAAAAAAAAAAAAAAAAGTGTATAATTTAGTGGTATTAAGTACATTCACAGTGTTGTGGTGCAACCATCACCATCATCTATCTCAAGAACTCTTCATCTTCATCTTGCAAAACTGAAGCTCTGTATCAATTAAACCAGGGGTGTCCAATCTTTTGGCTTCCCTGAGCCACATTGGAAGAAGAATTGTCTTGGGCCACACATAAAATATACGAATGATAGCTGATGAGCTTTAAAAAATTGCAGAAAAATTCATAATGTTTTAAGAAAGTTTACCAATTTGTGTCGGGCCACATTCAAAGCCATCATGGGCTACATACAGCCTGTGGGCCATGGGCTGGATAAGCTTGCATTAAACAATAGCTCCCTATTCCTCTCTTACCCCCAGCCTCTGACAACCACCATTCTACTTTCCATCTCTATGAATTTGACTACTCTAGGTATAAGTAGAATCATAAAATATTTATCCTTTTTGTGAATGACTTATTTCACTTAGCATAATGTCTTCAAGGTTCATCCATGTTGTAGCATATGTTAGAATTCCCTCCCTTTTTAAGTCTAAATAATATTCCATTATATGAATAGACCACATTTTGTTTATCCATGCATCCGTCAATGGACATTGGAGTTGTTTCCACCATTTGAATATTGTGAACATGGGTATATAAATATCTGTTTGATGGCTGGGCACAGTGGCTCACGCCTGTAATCCCTGAACCTTGGGAGGCTGAGGTGGGTGGATCACTTGAGGTCAGGAGTTCGAGACCAGCCTGGCCAAAGAGGTGAAATCCCATTTTTACAAAAAAATACAAAAAATTAGCCAGGTGTAGTGGCAGGCGCCTATAATCCTAGCTACTCAGGAGGCTGAGGCAGGAGAATCACTTGAACCCAGGAGGCGGAGGTTGCAGTGAGCCATGATCACATTACTGTACTCCAGCCTGGGCAACAGAGCGAGACTATGTCTCAAAAAAAAAAAAAAAAAAAAAAAATCTGTTTGAGTCCCTGCTTTCAATTCTGTTAGGGATACACCCTGAAGTGGAATTGCTGGATCTATGGTAATTCTATTGTTAATTCTTGAGGACCCTCCACACTGTTTTCCACAGTGGCTGCACCATTTTACACTCTCATCAACAGTGCACAAGGGTTCCATATGAGGCTTTCTTTATCTCACAGGCTGGGTCTAATCCACCCATACTCCCTGGGCTCAGGTCACTGCTGACATGGTCTTTCTGGCTCCTATAAGGCCTCTCAATTTTCAGCAGATGCTTGCAGCTCCCCTAGAGAGGCAGTAATGCTCCATGACCTTCCTGTTCTTGCTCGGTTGTCGACATACCATCTCTTTTTGCATCCATAGCACATAGTCTGTCTAGGGCTGGGAGCCTCCCTGGGTGAGGCCTAGGGCTCTGCACAATGCCCAAAGTGGGGCCCACATTGAGGGCTGTCTGCCTGGTGGGACTGAAGTCAGCTCTGGCTAAAGCAGTGATGTGGCAAAACCTAGTTCTGTCATCCTCACTCCTTCAGCAGCACTTACCCCTCTGTCCCATATGGGCACCCTTCCTGCCTTATTCTTCATTATTTTGTTTTACATGGCAGCTGATCACACCTGATAAAATAACTGGAGAGTAGTATTTCATCTTGAAAATGAAAATTCTCAGGACCCATTTGGAAAACTCCCCAATAGAGAAATATAACAGAGTTAGGATAACATTTTTAAGATGAAGGCTCTGAACAAAAACACTTTAAAACAATTATACTATTAGACAAATGGCCAGGGCCTCTCATACAACATCTTTGGGCAAATTCAGAAATGGTGCCCTTTTTGGATCAGGTGTGCAGCTCAGCTAAAAGACTGAACATTATATAAATGGAAGTTTAAATATTGTCCAAATGACACCAAGGCAGGTTCTTTGGGCACATTCAGCCCTGTGAGTGCATGGCTGGTGAGCAGGTGTCACCTGTTTCTCCAGGTCCTGGAAGGTATATGGCTTTGTAAGTAGAGCTGGGACTGATTTTTAGCTCTCACTCACTGGCAGTAACAACCATAAGCAGCAGCCCTGGGGTGATGAGGAATCTAATAATGTCATTCCCTCCTGCCAGCACCACCTTGTGGACAAGGCATTTTTAGATCACACCAGCAGGAAGATTTTTTTGAAAGATCATAAATATGGGCATCTATTTTACCACTCACCTAGAATCCAATAGAAGACAAAGGACTCCTTGTATCAGGCAGGAAGGCAGCCCAGCAGCCACACAGGCTATCAACCCAGCAAGCCTCACCAAACACCAAAGCCACAGCGCTGGTCTCCCTCATCTAGACACAAACACACACACACACACACACACACACACACACACACACACACACAGAGACAGCATCTCACCTGAGCCACCTCTTCAAAGTCATCGTGCCTCTTCTGCAGGGCCCGGGCTCGATGTAGGGACTTTCCAACTCCAGTGTGTTTGCTGAGAAAGGCCTCACCATGGTTTTCAATCCAGTCCAACACCTGGTCAAAGAAGGATAACAGCAACTATGACTTCCTAGCAGAAGGAAAGACACGTGACAACATGTGCAACTGCTAGAGTCCTAACCACCCCCACATCCCATCCCAATTGTAAAGCAGCAGTTCAGGTGGAAATGGTCAATCTGCTGTGAGTCCATGGGATTTCATCACTGTCACTGGCAATATCACAGTCCCACCCTTAACTAAATTCAACTTACCCTTTTTGATCTCCATATTATCCGTCCATTACTTTTTCCATTTTCTTAGTTCATTATTTTAAACAAGCTACACACCAGGCACAGTTTAACCCCCTCACCACTTCTACCCAATCACATAAAGATATTGGCAGGAAATTAGGTAGTAGCAGTTTGGGCAGTATCTTGGCCCTCATTACTCATCGGTCACTCTGCCATAAGAATGCAAACAGCAATGGCAACCAGTCATGGGGATCCTGCCTATTGTGCTCCTGGGACACCCCTTCCTAATCTTGAAAGCAAAGTCCAGGGTAGTCAGTCCCCAGTTGGATGCTCATGATATCTGAACACTAGGACAATAGCCCCCTCTAGCTTCTTTCCATCTTCCTCCTCCAATCGATACCAACTAACCAAACAAACAAATGTATAAATTAAAGTATTTGCATCCTAAGTCCTTTAGTATCTGAGTCTCTTGGGAAGTAGTGGAGACTTTATGTTCTTCCAGGCTAAAGATCTAGTGATTTGGCTTCAATACAGTTTCCTTGGTATTTAGAGACACTGGAACAGAGAAGCCTGGGCAATAGAGGGGTGAGAGAGAGGGGAAGCTAAGAAGGGTGGAAAAGAAGTTTTCCTGAGGGGCACTTGAGAGGCAGGATGGAAATCCCTTAGTAAAAGCCTTGACGTGCAGGGAGGATCAAAGCCTTTAATACTCATTTTGCATTCTTGCAGATGGCCTAACAAAAATGTGTGCATCCCAGAGATCATCTTTTGCTCTCTGACAAGTTGGTGCTCAGTAAATCGGGTGACCACAATTAAATCAGAATTACAGTATAGACACACCTGTTATAGATCCTGCTAAAACTCAAGTGAGTCCACTCACTGCCTGCAATATTAACCATGAACTAAACATTTGATTAATGATGTACTAGCCTTTCCAGATTTTGGAAGAACTTATTGGAAAATGACTTAGATGAACTAGGTCTATTTAAAAAGATGGTTTAACTCATTCCTGTGTCTCAGACGGATTGCCCTGTAGCAAACAGAGGTAGAACCAAATCATTCCATAGACTGCAGGCATGGGAGTTCTCTGACATTTGGGATATTTTAATATCTGCAGTGTGCAAAGTGTGAACATTTTCAAAGTCTTTGGTGACAGGATCACAAAGCCCACATTATGATTGTGCTAGTTCAGAGAAAGGTACATATGAATATAAAAATGAGGCTTAACAAATATCCACTTAATGAAGACAGGTGGAGTAATTGTCCATCATCATGAGGAAAAGAAGTTTTTTGTAAATAAAAAATGAATTAATCTAAACGTTATCTATGGATATTTTAAACACTTTATAATATATTCTGGCAATATACATATTTTAAGTATTCTGGAGGCACAGCCCTAAAAAGAAATTGTGGTAGTGCTGGATTTTTACCTTTTGCAAATACTGAAAGGCAGCACTGAAAGGAACTTTACATGTTCCTCTCTTAGAAGAGCCTACATTTCTCTAGAATTACTTACGGTGAAACTTCAAGCAAAAAAATCAAGAGAGTGTATTTTTACTTGGCTTGCCACAATTAGATCTCACAATTCTGTACTGTCACGGGATTTATGAGCTTCAGCATGCAAGGTCAAAGGCAAATACTTTGTAGTCACAAAGTTTCCCGTATATTAGGTGCCAACTATAGTAAAGTTTTAGGATTTTAAGGCATAAACTTTCATCAATCCCTTCTGAAAACAAATTGAGGTTTGAGGATAATTTTTTGCATATTAAAGAACTACCAGTGGTCGTTTACGAATGTGTTGGAATTTATAACAGATTTTTCAGACCACAATTTTTTAAATTTAGTTTTGAGCACTTAAGTATGAATTGCTTGTCTCGCAGTGTTTTCTTGAGTTTTGTTTTATTTCATTTTTTTATCTCTAGCTTTAAGAAAATTGGTTATTCTGAAGTAAATTGGTTGAAGAGGAATATTTTTCATCTACTAGTTCACCCACATACAGCGTCTGCACTCCCCAGAAACGATTTTACAACTTTTAAATATTTTTTTAAAAGGCAATTTGTTTCCTTTTTCGGTACTTTGCTTTCTTTAAAATGTCAATTTATTTTTAGTTAGTGACACTTAGTTTTACTTAATTGGCTATGCCTTCATCACTTAAAAACCTATTTCTTTCATATTTGAGAAGCTTTTACTTCATTTTAACATAACTTTGATTGCTCTGTGATGTTATAGTGCCATCATTTAGTCCAATTTCTGCCATTAGAATTGAAGCTGTAGGGAAAATATGTGCAATTTCAACGAAAGTTCAGGAGCTACGCAGAAATCAATTTAACAAATCAAAAAGCAAATAATTTAGGAAAGTTAACAAAATTTCTTTAGTAATCCAGACTGAAAAAGTACTCGAGGCTAGATAAACATAGTCAATATATGAAGTACTGTTAAAGATTCTAATTTCTATTTTATTTCAGATGGTTCATTTAGAGCCATCACTGCGTCATACACGTATTTAGACCACACACCGTCTCGACCCTGATTCCATGTCCTCCAACCTCGGGAGTACAATCTGACTTTCCATGCAGATCCTGCGCAGCAGAGAAACATGTTCCTGAGCAGACACCAGCAGTGCCTGACAATTACATTACACACTATAAATTTATGTGTGGCTTGAGATTCTAGATATTTGTCAGTTTCTAGTGTGTTCCATTAAGATAAATCAGGCTCCAGAATCTGAACATCACTGGTTAAAGAATAAATTGACTTTCTAGTCAAATCCCAGACCCTACCTAAGTACAAGCGCCCATCAAGGTACTCCTTATAATCTTATTCCTGAATAATTTCTCCTCATCTACAAGGCATATTTAAAATACTCAATTACCAATCATAGTCAGGGTATACAGCATGAGAGTCATTCATACCTATCGATGGCTCTGAATTGGTATTTGAGCATTTCTAACTTTGGAGGTTTTATCTTTTTGTTTTCGTCTGAGGGGTCCTCAGGCAGCAGAGAAGCATGTGTGGGTATGTAAGTATTCACATATTCAGATATTTATTTAAATAGTCTTATTGTACCACAGTGCCAGGCACTAGAGCAGCTCTGGAGAGGGGGGAGCAGCAGTAAAAAGGCAGGCATGGCCTGATGCTGGGAACTCAGTCTACAGGGGTAACAAGCACTACACACTAAATCATACAATTCGTCATTCATTGCAAAGGTGAAAAGTACCAACAGCCAAATGCATCTTCTCTGGGGAGTCACAGAAGGTTTCTCAGGAGAAGTGAGGTTTAGCTGAGATCTGACAGAGAGTAGGATTTAACCAAATTAGGAATTGAAATGACCAGCATGGCTTGCATAGGGGATAAGTAGGAAATGGACCCTGCAAAGGCAGGTACCAGATTGTGGTGAGCCGTGGTGTGCTGAACAGAAGAATCCAGTGTTCATCCTAAGAGCCACTGAAGAGCCGCTGCCAGGAGGATAAAGACACTTTTCATTTCCAGTTAAAAATTATTGCTCTGACTGACTAGGTGCAGTGGCTTATGCCTATAATCCTATCCCTTTGGGAGGCAGAGGCAGGTGGATTGCTTGAACCTAGGAATTTGAGACAAGCCTTGGTAACATGGCAAAACTCTGTTTCTACAAAAAAATTAGCCAGGCGTGGTGGTGCACACCTGCAGTTCCAGCTATGTAGGAGGCTGAGGAGGGGGGATCCCCTGAGCCTAAGAGTTCCAGGCTGAAGTGAGCTGTGATATCACCATTCCAGCCTGGGCAATAGAGTGAGACCTTATCTCAAATATATGTGTGTGTGTATATGCGTGTGTGAGGGTGTGTGTATATATAAATATATATATAGCTCTGACTGCTTTGTGGAGGATCAACTGGAGAAGGCAAGAGTAGAGAAAGGAAAACAGGAGGCAGAAATTCTGACAAGAGGTGATGGTGACTCATGCAAGGCCAATGGCAGTGTCTATAGATAGACAGATTGGGGGGAAAGAATTGCCAGGACTTGGTAACTGGCTATGGGGGAGATGCAGAGGCAGGCAGTAAGCCTGACCCCCAGGGGCATGTCTTGAATATCTGAGTGGAAGGTAGAACTAGTCACTGGTACGGGACTAAATGAGTTATGAGGGGTAGCACAGACATAACGTATTTTTTTTCTTAAGATTTTTTTCCCTTTCTATGCTCACACTCTTGTTCTGAGAATGACTATGGAAAGGGATACTCATGGGCATAAGTGGCAGTGATTTGTGCCCCTGAACTTGAATGGGAAATAGTACTCAATAATGGTTGTCAATCAGATTCTGGGAAAGATGTGCCTTTAGTTTCAAAGAAGTAATTTATACACTAAGGCTAAAAAATAAATTATAAATTGTTAATCTACCTAAATCCCAATAATAAAAGTTAGGAATGCCAAATCCATTTTAAAAACATAACTTCAACCTAATTGTCCATCAATGGATGACTAGATAAAGAAAATGTGGTATATATTGATAATGGAATACTATTCAACCATAAAAAAGAATGTAATCATGTCTTCTGCAGCAATATGGATGGAACTGGAGGCCATTATCCTGAGTAAAACAAGCCAGGCACAGAAAGACAAATATCACATGTTCTCACTTATATGTGGAAGATAAATAATGCAGACGCACGGATGCAGAGTGTGTAGTGCTAGACAATGGACCCTGGAAAGGGAGAGGGGGTGGGTGATGAGAAATTATTAATGAGTACAATATATGTTATTTGGGTGATGGATAGCCTAAAAGCTCTGACTTTACCACTATGCAGTCTATGTATATAACAAAATTATACTTGGACCC